CAATTTATATGGTGCACTGTATGCTGTGAAATAAGTGTGGTGCAATCCATGTTGTGCAATATATGTTGTGCAATATATGTGGTTATGCTATCTATGTTGTGCAATCGATGTGGTGCATTGTACGTTGTGCTATTTATACGTGCCTGTGCAATACATGGTGTGCAATCTATGTGGCGACATCTATCTTGTGCACAATCTTTGGGGAAACTAATGGTGCGAGCAATCAAAAAAGGGCTACGCACTAGTACTACTACTACGACGACGACTACTACTCATACTGCTACTACTCGTGCTTTTACTCTTACTCTTACTCTTGCTCGTATTCTTATTCTTACCACTAGTGCTACTGCTGTCACGACTACTACTTCTCTTACTCTCACTACTGCTACTTCGACTACTGCTACTACTGCTACTACTCCTACTACTACTACTACTACTCTTACTCTTAGTCCGACTACCACCACTACAGCTATTTCTATTCTTTCTCCTGCTACTACTACTACTACTACTAATACTACTACTGCTATTAGTACTAGTGCCACTACTAGCACTACTACTGCTGCTATTACTACTACTGCTACTACTATTACTACTACTACTACAACTACTACTACTACTACTACGACGACGACTAGTACTACTACTACCACTGCTACTACTACTACTACTACTACTACTATTATTACTACTACTACTACTGCTACTGCTGCTACTACTACTACTACTACTACTACTACTGACACTACAACCACGGTTACGACTACGACCACTACCAGTACTAATACAATTACTACTACTACTACTACTACTACTACTACTACTGCTACTGCTACTGCTACTGCTACTGCTACTGCTACTGCTACTACTACTACTACTATTACTACTACTACTACTAGTACTAGTAGTACTACTACACCATTACTACTACTACTACTACTACTACTGTTACTGTTACTGTTACTGTTACTGTTACTGTTACTGTTACTGTTACTGTTACTGTTACTGTTACTGTTACTACTACTAGTACTACTACTACTACTACTACTACTACTACTACTACTACTACTACTACTACTACTGCTACTGCTGAAACTACCACTATCTGTGTGGTGCAAGTTGTGTGGTGCGCGGCGGCGACGGCGGCGACGGCGGCGGCGACGATGCGGTGACGGCGGCGGCGACGGCGGCGACGGGCGGCACGGACGGCGACGGCCGCCCTTGGTCCCGAGTTGAGTGGCGGCGATGGACTGCGACGGGCGGCACCGCCCGCAGAAGCCGCCCCTGGCCCCGAGATTTTTTTAAGGCAAGTAAGACCCCCAAAGTGCAAGCACTGTTTGGGGAAACATGTACAAGAACACTCGACCGACCACGACTTTATCTGCACGTCAGTCGTCGTTGTTGTCGCCTGTCATCGTGTCATCGTCGTCGTTGTCTCTCATAACTCATGCGCCACCAACCGTATCCGTTTGCCAGAGACCCGGCGTTTCTCTTCAAGTTTCTCTGTAGTTTACTGCCCGGGGTCTTACGACATTCAAAGGGCTGCACGGATGGAGGGCCGGAGGCTTCCGAATTACACCCCCGGCACCGCTTCAGCATACAACCTGCGCAGAGCATCGGATAGAGAACCAGTGCGAGTGCTGCAACACGACAGCACGAGAGACCGTGCGGGAGACCATGCGGGAGGAGGCCATGCGGAACACCATAAGGGATACCATGCGGCAGACCATACGGGAAATTACGTGAGGTGCCACGTCGGATGCCATACGGGAGACCGAACGGGAGTCCATCAAGTCACTGGTTCCGGGATCGGTAATTGCCCCCCAGGCCCTTCTTACGAACCATATGTTGAAATCTTGCAGGCAGGCTGTTCCGGGATCTTGAAAGAGGGGGAGCAAGGAGAAGGAGGACCAGGCGGAGGAGAAGAGCTGTTTTTACCCATCCAGATCGCTTCTGGCTGGGGAGGAGGGGTGCGAGGGCATCAGCCACGCGTGACAGAACTGCCCGCTGTTTGAAGCTCGACGGAGTGGGAGGATAGGAGAAGGACAAGGATGACTATCATGGAAAGCGTGCAGAACGAGATGGGACGACGGCGATAACGATGACGGCGGCGACGTCGGCGACGACGACAAGGACGATTGAGGACAACCGAGAACAAATGACGGCTAACCACTCTGGCGACAATGACGGGCGCATGACGACGGACGACTGCCCCCGAGAGACGACGGACGACGGACGTCGGACGACGGACGACGGACGACGGACGACGGACGATGGACGACGACGACGACGATGACGACGACTAGGACGAGGACGAGGACGACGACGACGACGTATACGGACGACGACGCACGACGACGACGACGACGACGACGACGACGACGACGACGACGACGACGACGACGACGACGACGACGGCGGGAGCGCTGGCGGCGGCGGCGGCGGCGGCGGCGGCGCGACACGAGCGGCCGCCAGGCGGCGGGGCAGGCCCCAGCAGCCTCCAGGGGGGCTACGTGCTCAACCCGCTGTCGGAGGAGCCGCCCCCTCCCCGTCCCCCGGCGTCCGCCCCGCGAGGAGGAGGGGAGGGGGGAGAGTGAGGCCCTCCCTTCCCCCTGCCCCTGCCCTTCTTCCCTCCCTCGCTCCTCCTCGTTCCCTTCCTCCTCCTCCTCCTCCTCCTCCTCCTTCCGCCTCCGCCTTTTCCCTCCTCCGCCTCCTCCTCCTCCTCCTCCTCGCTCCCTTTCTCCTCCTCGTCCCTCCTCCTCCTCCTCCTCCTGCTCTCCGTCCTCCTCCTCCTCCTTCTCCTCCTCATGGTTCTCCTCCTCCTCCTCCTCCTCCTCCTCCTGCTCTCCGTCCTCCTCCTCCTCCTCCTCCTTCTCCTCCTCCTCATGGTTCTCCTCCTCCTCCTCCTCCTCCTCCTTCGCCTCCTCAAGCTGTCCTCCTTCGCCTCCTCAAGCGTAGCCATTTTGGCTCAAGCTGTCCTCTCAGGATTCTCAAGAGTAACTGCCCGAATTCCCGCCCTCAGTTTTAACCCCGATTTCCTTTTACATCTCTCTACACATCTTGTGCCAAGCATCATGAAAAAGGGCGCTCAATCGAGCAACTCTCCCGAAGATCACAAGAAGGCAAAAGTCGAGCCCAAACCGGACAGAGTTGAGGAAATGTTTGCGGAGCTCAAGAGCCTGATGGGAGGCCTCAGCACGAAGGTTGATGCAAGCCTTGCCATCGCCCAGGAAGCGAAGACCGAAGCGGTATCCGCGAAGCAGGCTGCCCTCGAGACGACGCTGACCATAGCCAGCCTAGAGGACAAGATCAACAAGACCAACGAGACTGTGGCCACAGTGCAGAAGGAGGTCGAGGACATACAGCGTGCAAAAACCACCATCCGCAGGAACCACAAGGAGCCGGACTCCGACATCAGGGACAAGCAGGTGCTCGCGTTAGGTTTCAAGGAGCGTATGGAACCGGACATTATCATCGCCAAGATCGAGGCGATACTCACCGAAGTGTTGGGCGACAGCCACACCGCCAAGGTGGAAGCCGGCGGAAATCGTGCGAAGATGGGGATCATCACATTCGAGGACGCATCTCACAAAATCGACTTTTACAAGAAAATGGAACCGATCAAAGATAAAGAACACGTGAAGCCCATTTTCTTTCGGAACAACTCCACAACGGAAGAAAGGACTAATGACAAACTACTTGGCTACACCAAGTTCCACCTCACCCGCAAGGGCCACGTCAAGGATGAGGACATCAAGATCGTCTGGCGGAAGAACCTGGTGGAGGTTCACGGCCGGAAGGTGGCCTGGATCGATGAGTTCGGGGTCTGGCGCACTACGGGAACAGCCAAGAAGGTTGAGCAGGACGTGAGGGCGTCCATGGACACATGGAGGAAAAAGGTGGACCCCGACCCGGCGACCGAGTCCGAGTGAAGGGATGCCCGTCCCTCCCGGGAACATGGGGCTAATACGACCCACAATTTTGAGTTTCACCCGCCATCCAGAATTCATTTACATAGGCATTCGATTTTTCCATTCCCTGTCCCCCTCTCTCCAAATGGAGTTCAGACGAATCTTCCCAGGAACACTGAGACTTTTGAGTGTGCCCTGCAGGACGAATCCGATAATTTACTTTTTAATCCCCCCTCTCAAGGAAGTCAGCTCTCAGGACCTACATCGTCAAGGCCAGCATCGCGACCACCTTCGACGACAATGCCGGCGCGCAGCACAGGCGGTGGCAGAAAGGGCTTTGCACATGCAGACGGCGACGTGCCTTTGAGCATTTTCACAACACAGCACACTCCACTGCCGAATAGCACTGACCGCCACAACCAGCAGCAGCACCGTCGACCAGCAGCGACCGACTACCACGAGCAACCACACACAGCAAACCTCGACCGCAACCAACCAGCACAACCAACAACACTGACCACCGACCAACAATACCAGCAACACTTAACCAAACCACCACCACCGACCAGCACCGACCACCAGCGCCATCCACTGCCGAATAGCACTGACCCCCACAACCAGCAGCAGCACCATCGACCAGCAGCGACCGACTACCACGAGCAACCACACACAGCAAACCTCGACCTCAGCCAACCAGCACAACCAACAACACTGACCACCGACCAACAATACCAGCAACACTTGACCAAACCACCACCACCGACCAGCACCGACCACCAGCGCCAGCAGTGGCACCGACTAACACCAGCAAGTTCACACCATCCAGCTCTGACCAACAACGACGAGCAAACAACAACGCAACCGACTCCAGACCAGCACCACCAGCAACACACACCCAATCAACCGCAGACCACACTCACCCAACAACAAGACAGCCGACTAGCAGCGACAAGCCAACACCAAACAATCCAGACCAGCGCCGACCACGACCAACCAGCAGCACCAACGAAAATGACACCGACCACTGACGAGCACCAACAGCACATATTCATAACGATTATTCACAAAAATGCCCGGGCACTTACGACAGACGACCGGGTCAGCGAACTCATCGCAGAGCTCGACAACTGCCATTGGGATTTTGTGCTCATCAACGAGACAGAGGACGACTACGACGGAACTATGGACAACCGTGGAAGGGCATACGTTTGCTGGATCTGGCAATGACCAGGCGTGCCACGGAGTTGCTATTCTTATACACAAGCGTTGGGGAAAGAGCATACAGAGATTTGAAGCCCACTCGCCAAGACTCGCCACGATGCTGTTGAAAAGAGGGCGGTTGAAATTACAATTGGTGGCCGCATATTTTCCACACTCTGGGTACAGCGACCCGCACATTCAGCGCATGTACGACGCGATCCACGAGATTCACAGAGAAAACACCAAAGCACGACGTCATATTATACTCGCTGGCGACTTCAACGCGCAGGTTGGGGAATCCCGTATATCAGTAGATGGCGACGACGACGACCTCATCACTTCCAGGTGTGTCGGCCGCCACGGATATGGAATCGAAAACTCGAGGGGTACATGGTTGCGACACTGGGCTGCCCAAGAAGGGCTTGTGCTTGCCAATACGTTTTTCCGAAAGCCTATACATAAGCAGATCACTTACATCAGCGGCGACAAGCAGAAACAGCTCGACTACATCTTGCTCAACCGCAAGCTCTTCAAGCATTGCACTAATGCCGAGGCCAACAACGTGACCGACCTGGGATCCGACCACAAGGCTGTCGTCACTGAGTTGAAGATACCAGAAGCAATGGTAACAAACGACAGCGACGAGACGACGACCAACGGCAGCGCAGACATGCACCACCCAACGCTTCCACCGGCAAGATCATCAATGTGAACGTCTACCACGACCACCAAAGACGACGACTGAAACCAGACGAACTACCAATCGACCCACAATCCCTGGACGAGCACATCCAGCAAGTTCTCATCGACGCCGCCGCCGTGAGCAGCGCTGGAGCACCACGACCAGACCGACAACCAGACAGAGGAGCAGAACGTCTACGCCCTCTCATCGCACAGCGACACCAGACACCAAACAACGACCACCGCACCCGCAAACAACTGAGCAAACTGATACAGCAGGAGATCCGCGCGCAGAAGCGGCGGACACGACGGGCCCACATAGGAAGCGTGCTCGAACAGTTCAGAGACCTCAAAAGTATCCCGCGCATCAAGACACGCAGAAAGCGGAATCTCATCACTCACATGACAGACAAAGGAGGCTCAAAACGCACGGCCCGGCAAGAAATTGCAGACATATTCGCGGAGTTTTACGAGCAGCTATACGACACAACGGCCAAGCCGACGCAACGAGAGCGACGCAGCGACGACCTTCCACCCTTCACTGGCGAAGAGTTGGAAAAGGCGATTAGAGGGCTCCGGCTTGGTAAGGCTCCAGACACCAAAGGCCTACGAGCAGAAATGTTGAAGGACGGCACGGAAGAATTGCACGGCGCACTTCTCCACCTCTACAACGCGATCATCCAGTCCGACGCTCCGCCGCCGACCAGCTGGAAGAGCACTGTCGTCACGGTCATTCCCAAGAGTGGGGATCTAACGCTTCCGCAAAACTATCGGCCCATATGCACAATACCATTGCTTTACAAGCTTTTCAGCAGACTTCTCTACAACCGACTCCAACCAACACTTGACTCCCGACAAACTGCAGACCAGGCCGGCTTCAGGCCAGGACACTCAACCACCGACCACTTATTCGCTTTCCATATTCTCCGTGAGCGCGCGCACGAATGGAACCAGAACTTGTGGGTAGCGGCGCTAGACTTCAAAAAAGCTTTTGACACCGTCGAGCACAATAGCATGTGGGCAGCGCTGGAGGCGCAGGGCGTCCAACGAGGATACATCTCACTACTCCAACAGCTGTGCGAGGGGCAGACGGCCACGGTCAGGACTGACGTCAGCAGCAAGTCCTTCAGTCTCCTCCGGGGAACGAAGCAGGGCGACCCGCTCAGTTCCTTGCTTTTCAACGCTTTGCTACAGCACAGTCTTGCACCACTAATCACCGACTGGCAAAAGAAGGGCAAGGGAGTGCAGCTAGGATTCACCACCACCTCCACGCTCACTAACCTCCGCTTCGCCGACGACGTGCTCCTTACTAGCCAAACTCTACCGCGCCTCACCGCGATGCTCGACGACATCGTGCGCGCAGTGCGACCTCACGGACTTGAGTTGCACCCTTCCAAAACCAAAATACTCAGCAACCAGACCAGACGGACTGGCAGGGCAAGCTCGCGCACAGTACACATTCAGGGCATGGACATCGACATCCTTCCCCACGATGGCAGCATCAAGTACTTAGGTCAGCTCATCAGCTTTCACGACGCGATGGAGACTGAAATCCACCACCGTACGAGGGCAGCATGGGCAACGTTCACTTCGCACAAACAGGAGCTGACAAGCAAACACTACCCACTGGCACACCGACTTCGACTTTTCAGCCGGACCGTAACACCCGCAGCACTCTACGGAGCAGAGACATGGACGCTCACGGAACCTCTTCGGCAACACCTGCGGCGAACACAACGACGCATGCTCCGCATGATCATCAGGACACCAAGGCGACGCGCTACCCGCCAAACGACCCCGACGAGTAGCACCCAAGAACACGCGGACGACCGCACGACCACTCAAGCACCTGACCAAGAAACCAGCAGCAGCGACGACGCAGAGAGCAACGCGCCCCAACAAGACACGACCGACCGACACAGCGAGAGCAACGACAACAACAATGACGAGGACGCGATGGAGCCGTGGGTCGACTACATCCAGCGAGCCACGCGGCGCGCAGAACAGCTCATGCAGCACCACCACATCGAAAACTGGGAGACGATTCACAGACAGAGGTCGTGGCGCATGGCATCCAAGGTAGCCAAACACGAGCCCACCAGATGGACGTGGCGTGCACTGCACTGGCAACCAGGAGAGAACTCACGGCAACGTGGCCGGAGACACCACGGCGGCCAGCGCAAGCGCTGGGACGACGACCTCATCAGCTTCCTTCAAGAACACCGACCCGACCTGCACCCAGCGCCCACGCCAACCAACGAGCAGGGCAAGCCGAACGACCTCACTTGGGTTCGCTCAGCTCAAGACACCACCACGTGGTCGACACTCGAACACAAATACATCAGCACGTCGCCGACATTCACAACCAGGACTTCCTCCTCCTCTCCTCCTCCGTCATAACTTTTTGTGTGTTGCACCGAATCATGTATTGTGTGTCTCGCAGTTCCTGTGCATGTCTCTATGTTTACAGGAGGCCATGGCCTCACCCACCTGGTCTGAGCAGGCCCGGACAGCTGTCCGATGTGGTGGTTCGTTCGTTCGTTCCTTCGCCTCCTCTTCCCTCCCTGCCTCCCTGCCTCCCTCCCTGCTTCCCTACCTGCCCCCCCTCCCTGCCTCCTTCCCACCCTACCATCCACCCTCCCTCCCCGCCCTGCCATCCCCCCTCCCTCCCTCCCCGCCCTTCCTCCTTGCTGACCCGATAAGGATGGTGCGGCGAAGCGATGCCCGAGGCGCGGCGCTGCTGGCGCTCGGGCATCCGCAGATCGGCTGGTGCAGCGCTTCACGGAGCTGCAGGCGCAAGCGGAGACTCGCCTCGCCCTCGCCGAGCAGACTCTTGACATCTTGGTCGGAAGCAGCCCGGCGGCGCAGCGGGTCCGCGCCCTGCTATCAGCATTCCTGGCGACATTGCAGGGCCGAGCGCCCCATTGGCTCGCAGCACTACGGCGCAGAGTTGCCCTACACGCGGACGCCGCTGGGCTGGACGTGACGGTCGCCGACGCCGCGGACCTCCGACGGGCGCAGCACGGGCCCCGCTTGCAGTCACAGAAGGAGCCAGCTGCTTGCTGTGCCGCCGAGGCCACGACGCTCGGCACACGGTGCACCCGTGGCGCGGTCGCTTTCTTGCCGTGCAAAAGGTGCTGCCTCTTGGGGAGCCGCGGGGCACGGGGACGCCTCGGGCCGCAGCGCGGCGGAGCGTGCTCAGGGCCGACGTGGCGTGCTTCCTGCAGCTTGAGCCCTTGGCGACGAGCCCCGCGCAGTGCGAGGCGGCCGATGGGCGGGGGGCCGGCGCCGAGCTCGACGCGCAGCCCGGCTCCGAGGACCCTCAGCCCGGGGCCGAGCCCGATTTGCGGTTCCGCGAGCCCGCGCCGCAGTCCGACGCCGAGGCCGCCTCCCCAGGACCGCATGGCGACAGGGGCGCTGATCATCAGGGCCTCGTTTGCGCCGCTGCGCGGCTGCACGGCGGTGGCGTGCGCCGAGCTCGCAGGCCCAGGCCCGATCCGACGCCAACGAGGCCAGCGCTCGATGCGGAAGCTTTGTTCCAAGGCTTTGCTGCGGCCACGGCGGAGACTGCCAGCTCAGCCCCGCCCTTGCCCGCCGCGAGCTCAGCAGATTGCCAGCAGAGTGGTGCCACGGATGCGGTGGAGGCTGCTGCGTGGAATCCTCCATCCTCGCCTTCCTGGTCTCCCTCTGCGCGGTCGGCTGCCTTGCCGTCCTGCTCGGCTGTGGGGTCAGGGAGGGGCAGGCCCGCGATTTAACATGACAATTGTCTTCGGTCTTGTCCCGTATTGCCCCTCTGCTGCAGCCGCCCTCCCCTCGCTGCTGCTGCTGCTGCCGCCCCCTTTTGGCCCGCGGCCCTTCCAGGGCTTCTCCGCCGACTGCGTCATCGCGGCGCTGCGCCGCGGCGGCTGCGGGCCTGGAGGCGCGGGGGGGGGGTCCCTGGCGAGGATGGGAAGGGGGAGGGAGGAGGCGAGGAGGAGGGTGTCCGCCGAGAGGGTCCTCATTTGTTCCTCAGCCTCCTCCTCCTTCTCCGCCTCCGCCTCCGCCCCCTCCGCCTCGGCCTCCTCCTCCTCCTGCGTTCTGCGTGCTGATGACACCAAAGTTGATATCAACGCTGCTTCCTCCTCCTCGGCCTCCTCCCCTCCCCTCCCCTCCCCTCCTTCCCCATTCCCTTCCTCCTCCCTCCACCTCCCTACCTGATCACCACCATCATCCCTGCCACCAAAACCATCATCATCATCAGCAGCAGCAGCAGCACCAGCATCATCAGCATCCTCATCATCATCCTCCTCCTCCTCCTCAACATCATCATCACCGTCATCATCATCAGCAGCATCATCATCATTATCATCATCACTACCAGCATCAGCATCGTCGTCGTCGTTGTAGTCGCCGTCGTCACCGAAATCGTCGTCGTCATCAGCATCACGATCATCATTATGACCATCAAGATCATCATTAGCATTACTGTCATCGTCATCTCCATGTTCATCGTCATCGTCATTATCAGCATCATCATCATCATCATCATCATCATCATTTCCATCAGCTTTGCCGTCATCACCAGCATCATCATCATCACCATCACCATCACCATCACCATCACCATGATCGCCGCCATCATTATTATCATTCCCATCATCAATGATACCATTTTCTCAGCACCAATCACCAATCATCATCAACATCGTCATCATCATCATCATCATCACTATCCTCAACATCACCAGCATTATCGTCATCAGCATCATCATCGTCAACGTCATCGTCACCGTAATCGTCATCAGCATCACCATCAACATGGCAAACTCCATCATTACCACGATCCACATACATCACCACGATGACCACCATCGCCATTACATTCATCAGCAGCATCATCAGCATCACCATCATTGTCATCAGCAACATACTTGTCACCATCAGCATCAACACCTTCATCGTCTTCACCATCATCATTGCCATTGTCCTCACCTTCTTCATCACCAGTATCATCAGTATCATCATCATCATCATCATCGTCATCATCATCACTCCCATCATACATACCACCGGTATCATCATCGCCACCATCACCACCACTATCCTCATCATCTTTACTCTCCTCATCACCATCATAAGCATCACCATCAGCATCTACATCACCACCAGCGCCATCATCCTCGCCATAGACATCATCACCATCAGCGCAATTAGCATAGCATCTGCATCATCATCATCAGCAGCAGCAGCATCATCACCACCATCATCATCATCATCATCATCATCATCATCATCATCATCAGCATCATCATCATCATCATCATCATCATCATCATCATCATCATTATCATCATCATCATCATCATCATCATCATCATCATCATCATCATCATCATCACCATATGCATCATCGTCGTCATTTCTCCGTCTCCTCTCCCTTCCCACCCCTCCCCACTCTCCCCCTCCCCTCCTTTTCATCCTGCTCCCTGCTTCCTCCTCAGTGTCCCCCCCCTGGGGAGGAGGGGGAGGAGGGGAGGAGGAGGAGGAGGAGGAGGAGGAGGAGGAGGAGGAGGAGGAGGAGGAGGAGGAGGAGGAGGGGAGGGAGGAGGAGGAGGAGAGGAGGGAGGAGGAGGAGGAGGAGGAGGGAGGAGGAGGAGGAGGAGGAGGAGGAGGGGGAGGAGCAGGAGGAGGAGGAGGAGGAGGAGGAGGAGGTGGAGGAGGAGGAGGAGGAGGAGGAGGAGGAGGAGGAGGAGGAGGAGGGTGAGGTGCAGGCAGGAGGTGCAGACAGGAGGTGGAGGGCAGCGCTGGGGCGCAACTCCCGATGGCGGCCCGCACGTCGACCCCCTCGCCCTCGGCTGGCTCCCCGACTGCCGCCGAGCCCCCGCGTCGCTCGCGGCCGCGTCGCGGACGTACAGCCGGGGCCCTGAAGAAGGGACCCTTTGCGTTGGGGAGGGGCTCCGCGTTCCCTGATTGTTTCACAGCTTGTCTCAGGTTTTCCTTATGTTTTCTCAGAGCGTGAATTATCTCCCCCGCTTTCGCTTCCAGGCAAGACCAAGTCATACCACGCGCCTCCTCGTCAAGCGGCCTGACCAGCGCAGGCCGTAGTTTGGCATCGTTTGGTATCTCTTGGAAGCGAGGGTGGTCAAAAGCGAGGTAGGTTTGTTTTCCCTTATTTTCGACAGGAAGTCGAAGGTTAACTTATGGAAAAAGGGGCCTCGTTCCTTATTTGGGGTTCCTTAGGTCAACGCCCCGACTGTAGCTGTGCAGCCCGGGCCGTTCACATGTTGTAAGCTGAAGTTCAGGCTCGTGCCACTTCCAGGCGGTGTGCACCAGGAGCAGGCCCGTCCAGCATCTCTGGGCATCGGGGGGGGGGGCTGGCGGGAATTGGGGAGGGGGGGGATAGAGAATGCGAGATGGGGCGGGGAGGGGGGAGGCGGGATGCGGTGGGGGGGGGAGAGGCAGGGAGGGGGGAGGGAGAGAGGGGGGGAGGAATAGGAAGGCGGGCGGGCGAGAATGAGGAATGCGGGGGTGACGAGGGAAGACGGTGGGAGGGTGGACGAGGAGGGAAAGGGAAGAAAGCAATGTGGTCAGGAGGATGGAGGTCGAAGGAGGGAGGGGGAGGGATGGAGGAAGGGGGAGAGGATGAGGAGCAGGAGGGAGGTTGAAGGAGAGACGGGAGAGGGATGGAGGAAGAGGGGGAGGGAAGGAGGAAGAGGGGGGGGGAGGAGGAGGAACAGAAGGAGGAGGAGAGGAAGGGATGGAGATTGCGCAATGCGCTCCCTGGGTCTTTGGATAACAGACGACGCCGTTTTGAGCGCACTGCGTCGGAGGATTAGGGGGGTCCGTCGTTTCCGCTTTTTGCGTAGCGCATCTTAACCTGGAGATGAACTCAGATGGGCATCGCAGGTTGATGTACACACGTATGTATGTATGTATGTATGTATGTATGTATGTATGTATGTATGTATGTATGTATGCATGCATGTATCTATGTATGTATGTATCTATGCATGCATGCATGTATGTATGTATGTATGTATGTATGTATGTATGTATGTATGTATGTATGCATGTATACATGTATGTATGCATGCATGCATGCATGTATGTATGTATGTATGTATGTATGTATGTAAGTAAGTAAGTAAGTAATTATGTATATATGTATATATGTATGTATGTATGTAGGTATGTATGTATGTATGTATGTATGTATGCATGTATGCATGTATATATATATATATATATATATATAGGAATCGTATCCGGAAAGTGCCGCCGATCCAGTGGCGTTTCTGTTTCTTGCGCTGTTCGTCTTTTCTCTGTTCCCCTCCTGCTCGCGTGTCTCCTGTTCGCATTGTGGTACTCTTCCCCGCCTCCTCCAAATCTGAATGGGGGTAGCCCCCCCCGCCCCCCTCCCCGGCAGAGCCACCCCGGCACCCCCCAAACTCCCTCCGAACCTGAATTGTGGCAGCTCCCCCCCCTTACCCGGCAGAGCCAACCTGGCCCCCCGCAGCGCCCCCCCCCCCTCCAAACCTCAACGGCACCCCCCCCCCCACTCCAAACCTGAATGGCGGCAGCCCCCCCCCCCCCTCCATGGGGGCAGCCCCTCCCCCTTTTCACGGCAGAGCCACCCCGGCACCCCCACAAACTCCTTCCAAACCTGAATGGGGGCAGCCCCCCCCCCTTCCCCGGCAGAGCCACCCCGGCCCCCCCCAAACTCACACGCCGGATCGGCGGATATCACTGGGTAGCCAAGTGAGCAGGAGGATGCGCAGGACACGGTGATGGGAACGGAGTGGGTCCTCCTGCTCTTCCTTTAACCGCCCTCGTCATTGTTCTCCTGTATGTCTTCGTCATGCCCCCTCCTCCACCCCTCTTCCTGCTCCTTCCCCCTCCCTCCTTCCTCCTCCCTCAAGTCATTCTGGCCCGAGTTATTGCTGTGCCAGGACAGACTTTGTACCACTACCATCAGTGTGCTGGCTTGAGCGCCTCCTTTTGAGGTGAAAGAAAGGTACCTTTTTCGTTCTGAAGTGTTTTGAATGGCTCCTCTTCGAGCTGTTGACCGTGCGGCCGACTGGCGAGATGGAGCGCCGTGGAGCCAAGGAGTTCAACGAGGGAAACTGTTACATGGTAGACCCAGGAATTTGCTGGTGCGTTGTGGTAAAATCCCACCTCAAAGACCGATTCGAGATGTGCGGAGCGCGGTCCCTGGGGGGGAGGAGTCTGGGACCGAGAAGGCGCCACCCCCTCCTGTCTGTAGACGTGAGCCCCTTCGCCTTCTAAGAAAGAGGAGGAGGAGGAGGAGGAGGAGGAGGAGGAGGAGGAGGAGGAGGAAGGAGGAGGAGGAGGAGGAGGAGGAGAGGAGGAGGAGGAGGAGGGAGGAGACCGAGGAGGAGGAGGAGGGAGGAGGAGGGAGGAGGAGGAGGAGGAGGACGAGGAGGAGGAGGAGGAGGAGGAGAGGAGGAGAACCGAGGAGGAGGAGGAGGACGAGGAGGAGGAAGAGGAGGAGGAGGAGGAGAGGAGGAGGAGGAGGAGGAGGAGGACCGCGCGCCGGCAAGTTTTGGCACTTGGCTGGAGCGGGTGCGTCTCGCGCGGCTGATGCGGGCTGTCTTCGTATTTGAGCGGGGCGGGAGCCCTCCGCCTCTCCGCCGCCGGGCTCCTTTCCCGCGGGGAGGCCGCTCCTTTGAAGAGGTGGAGCGGCCTGTCGCGGGCAAGGCAAGTCCTCCCTCCTCCCTATTCCTCCACTCCTCTTCTTCTTCCTCCCCCCTCTGCCTCCTCGTTATCCTCCTCCTCCTCCTCCTCCTCCTCTCCTCCCCTCCTCCTCTCCTCCTCCTCCTCCTCTCCTCCCTCCCTCCAGGGCATCCTCCCCCTCCTCTTCCCCCCCCCATCTTTATTTTTCTCTTCCTCGTCCTCCTTCCGCTCTCCCTCCCCGTCGCCTCCGTTTCCGCTTTCTCCTCCTCCTGCGTCTCCTCCTCGTCCCTTTCCGTTGTTCTGTTTTCCTATCCTTCCTCCTATTTTTCTCCATCCTTGTTGTTCCTCCTCTTCCTCCTCCCCTCCTCCTTTTTTCCTTCTCATCACGCTTGCCCTCCTCGTCCTCCTAGTCTCAACTTGCATTTGGTTCAGACTGTTTTGGCTCATCAGGGCTGACTCGAGCCAGGTGGCCGCGCAATCCGCACTGGGTGGGGTGATGTACGCGGGTGGTATCTGTGACCCGTCTTCGGTCTTGAGGAGGAGCGCCTGGCGTCGCGCCGCTGAAAGTTGCACGGTTTGTTCTACCTCCAGGCTACGGACTAGGAGGTCGACCATTGTGTCACTAAATTCGATTGCAAGTCCCAGGAACGGGTGAACACCATAGTGGGCGTGCAGCGGCAAAGTGGGAAGAGAGAGCCCTTTTGGCCAGGCATGCCCAACTGTTTCAGGTTTTGGCCATTTCTTTTTTGTGCAGTTACAGCCGTTATTCTACATTGGGTTGTTTTGCGCGACGTTCGGCATGCTGTTGCGAATGCTGTTCCACAAAACACGCTGCCGACCTTTGAACAGATGCTGGGCGTTCAGTTTATGTAAAATACATGGTGGTTGTAGCATTGTGGGAAGAGAAAGCCTTTTTGGCCACGCATGTCCCACAGACATATTGTTTATCCCACAGCGGTGGTCTTCTTGAGGAAGGAGATGGGGTGCGCTGCTGCCGGTCGCCTTTCTACGCGTTGGAGGGTTTATTGCATGGCGTTGTCGTCCTATTTTGCGGCGTTTGGCGAAGGGTACTACAAGTCACGCGTCAAGAGCACGTGGCTTGGTGGGCTTCAGCATCGTTGTGATACGAGAGTGCCATTGTTGGATCGGAAGCTTCGCACTGCGGCTGTAAGGTGTGCGGGAGGAACGGGCGCACGGGCGCCAGACGCCAACAGGGTGAGGACAGCATCGAACGTTAACTGCGGGCGCATCCACAGGCCTCCCTTAGATCTGCTGTCCTGGGCGGCACGTTTGGGCAGCCTCCCAGAGGCACTGCCTCCACGTCTTCTAGGCCCGGGTGCCGTGGAGCACGAAATGCTCGGGGGCGGCAAAGAGGGGGGTGATGCCTAGGGGGGGGGTGGATATCATGGCGGGGGCCATGATATTTCCCCAGATTTCATGGCGCCTCTTCTCATTTCGTTACGTCCCTGGTCCCCCCGCTGGGCCGCGCACGCGCCGCCGGTCATGATTTGCACCCCCCCCTCTTGGACACCCCCCTCTTGGCCGCTCCCGAGATGCATGACGTGCGATTCTGCCCCGGCAGTGGCCGGGGGGTGGAGGCCCGCCCCGACTTTGGGGCTGGCTCGCGACCCTCGGGGGCCCTGCGCAGCGTGCGCGGGCGCGGGGGCGCGGTGACCGAGCCGACTGCGCTCCCTTGTGCTCTCGGGTCCTCGAGTCCTCGAGTCCCGCTGTTCCTCCTCCTGCCGTCCTCTTCCCTCTCCGCCCGCTTGCCCTCCTCGTCCTTCTCGTTCCGCTCGCCCTCCTGCTCCTCTTCCACAGTCTCCTCCTCGCTCTCCTCATCCTCCCTCCTCCTCATCCTCCTTTTCCTCCTCCATCCTTGTCCCGTGCCCCCTCCCCTCTATCGGCAGCACCTCAGCATACTCATACCAAGTGTCCGTCGCCCCCCCATGGGCGATGCGCGCGTCGAGAAATTTACATACTATATGCGTCGTGGCGGGCGCTCTCTGGCCACACCGCGCAGGGAACGATGTACTACACTATGGATATACTATATGTTCGGGTCGGACGCGCGCCTCCGAGGAGGACATGTAGTACTGGTCTGTCTCTGTGCGTCCAACCCTGCGCTGGTTTGCCAGGAGCGTCCTCGCCGTCCTCGCTGACCAGGCGCTTGGGGGGCGAGCTCGGCTGGAGGGAGGGAAGGTCACCAGGAAGGATGTGGAAGGGGAGGCGGAGGAGGAGGAGGAGGAGGAGGAGGAGGAGGAGGAGGAGGAGGGAAGACAACAGCAAAAACTACAGTAGGAGGAGACCGAGGAGGTATTGGAGGAGGAGGAGGAGGAGGAGGAGGAGGAGGAGGAGGAGGAGGAGGAGGAGGAGGACAAGGAGGATTAGGAGGGGGACGAGCAGGAACATGGGGAGGATGGGAAGCTGGGCGAGGCGGACGAGACAGCTCCTTGCCCGTCCTCATATCCCCAGTAGCAGGAAACTTCGGAGGTTGGGGGGGAGGAGGAGCAAGATGAGGGGGAGGTGGGGCAGGAAGATGAGCAGGAGGAGGAACATGAGGCGCATGATGATGATGCTGATGCTGACGATGATGATGCTGATGATGGTGATGATCAGCGATGCTGGTGGTGGTGGTGGCACATTTTCAAAGCGACCCGCTCTCAACCCGTGAAGCCTTGGAATGTTTGAAGACGAGTGTGCGCGGCGCCCAGGCGAGGAGAACTTTTTGAAAACCGCTTGTCCTCAATGTGTGAAACTTCTGAATCTTTTTAGAACGTCTGTTCGCGTCGCTATGGCGAGCCCCCTTTTGAAAACGACCCGCCCTCAATCAGTGAGACTCTCCCACATTTGAAAGACGAGTGTGCGCGGTGCTAAGGCGAGAGCCACATGTCGAAAACCTCCTGCCGCGTCCATTTGCGAAACGGTTGCCAGCTCCTACGCCTCATGCCCGTAAGGAAGGCGAAACGCCCCGGCCCGCCTTTCCCACTGGCCCCGGGGTGCGACAGAGATGAGTTGTTCATAAGGGAGGAATGGCGGAGGAGGATGCCCCCTGGTCCCTCGTGTGCGCGTGTGCGTGTGTGTGCGCGTCTGTGGCTCTCTAAGTCCACCGCCCATCGTTTGCATTCCAGCGTTCGACCTTTCTTTCACTGTGCTTTCGGCTGCACTCGATCGCAATTAGCACTTCCATCTGTTGCCCGCGCTTGAGGACCCTCTGCTCCGCTGACTCTAAACATGTACGTGTCTGTCTGAATGAATGAATGCATGCGTGTGTGAATGCACGAATGATCGAATGTGTATATTTTTACTTCTGCATTCAGGTGCATCTGCAAACGCACGCACACCACCGATGCCACGAGGTCGTTCGACGTTCTGACCGTGTCACGCGTGTCGTTCGACATACGGCCTGTGCGGCCGAGCGGGCTCCCGGAATCCCGCGATCCCCGTATCCGGGTCAGCAGTTTGCTCCCCCGTACTGGTGATCAAGCCTGTGCTGCCGCGCGATGCCACCGCCGCGCTCGGGCGGCCGCCGTGTGGGCGCCTGGGGGGGGGGCCAAGGGGGAGGGGGGGGAAATTTCTTAGACTTGGCATCGCTCGGACGTGTGCATGTTTTTTTCTCGGCGAGAACCATCGAGGACCATCCTGGACCATCGAGCAAAAAAACACACGCACGAAACCGGAAAATGCACGGGAAATGGACGTCCGAGCGATGGCGAGTTACGGACAACAACGGTAACCTTCATTCATGCGACTTAAGTAGTTCGCGGCTCCGTGCCACGAGAGCGCGTGCGAGTGGGACGATTCGTCAAGGCCTCACTTCATCGCTTCGCTCATTCCGCTGGCCCTGGAGCGCTCTTTTGGGCCTCTTTGGGGCCTGTTGGGGGCCTCTTGGGGGCCTCTTGGGGATCCTTGGCGGCGTCTTGGGGGCCCCTGGGGCCTCTTGGGGGGCTCTTGGGGGCCTCTTGGGGCGGGATGGGTAGTTATCATTCCTTGTCCTCAGCCGCCTCTTCCGTCTCCGTCTCTTGTATCGTCGTCCTCGATGGACCGGCCCATCGCTCGCATTTTGGAACCTTGTTGGCGCGCCCCGGGTCGACCGAGTGTCAAACGGGAGTGGGCCAGGACGTAGCTGAAATATCCAGTTGCTTTCGGCGTATCCCGCCAGGTTGGCCTCTGTAGGACCTCTGGGATGCAAATTTGCTGGTTCGACCGGGAGTCGGACGGGAGTGGGCCGGGACGTGGCTGAAATATGCAGTTGTCCTCGGCGTATCCCGCCAAATTGGCCTTTGCAGGAGCTCTGGGATGCATCTTTGAAGCTTGGACCGAGAGTCACACGGGGACGTAGCTGAAATATCCAGTTTCTTTCGGTGTATCCCGCCAGGTTGGTCTCTGTAGGACCTCTGGGATGCAGGTTTGAAACTTGGACCGAAAGTCGGACGGGAGTGGGCCGGGACGTAGCTGAAATGTGCAGTTGTTTTCTGCGTATCCCGCCAGGTTGGCCTCTGTAGGACCTCTGAGATGCAGGTTTGCAGCTTCAAGAAGGCGTCTAGGAGGTACTTTCTTCGGAACCCCTGGGAGCCTTTTGGGGCCTTCTGGAGGCCTCTTGGAACAAGTGTTCTAGTTCCTTAGAGCGTCTTGTGGCGTCTGTGGGGCTTTTTCAAAGCCTCCGGGGGGCCTCTTTTGGGCCTTTGGTGGCCTCTTGGAGGCCCGTTTGGGGACTCTTGTGGAGCTCTCGGGGCGGGAGGCGGAGGTAGTGGATTGCGGCTTTTCCCTCCGAGGCCACGATCCTCGTGAGGGGTATTGGAAAGTAGCCCTCCCCGGGGAGGAGTGCTCTGGGGGGCCTGACCGGGACCTGACTGGGACCTGGCCGGGGTACTTTTCGTCGGGGGGCCCCCAGGGGCCGCCCCGCGCGCGCTTGACCAGTTACCAGAGGTCTTAGCACGCCTCTGGCCCGGTGGGCCGGCGATTTTTTGTGCTGGTGCTAATGAGTTGTGTCTCACTATTGCTTCCATGTTTCATACCCCGTGCGTTTACTGGAATCACGCGTGCGGTCTCTATTTCTGATCATATTTGCGCTCGCTTTTATGGCGCCATTTCCTTCACCAGCTTCTTATCATTCGTTTGATGGTGGTGTTTCGAACGTTTCGCACCGTGATCGTTTTTTTTTTTTTTTTTTTTTTTTTTGTTTTTTTTTCTCCTCCCCAGCGTAACGCTCGCTACCCAGGCCAAACCTCCCCCCCACCCCCGGCTAACGCTAACCATCGTGCTGGGGGTTTTGGGGGAGGGCTGGGCCCCCCCACCTACACGATGGGAGCGGGCCCCCGGCAGTTATGTCGCTGTGCTCACAGGCGTGGCGTGGTCTGGACGGCACGCATTAGTGCTCACAAACGCGTTGGGGCGTTCGCAGGCCCACCCGTTGCGGCGCCGAACTCACAGGCATGGCGTGGTGCTGAGGGGCATGTTTGGGTGCTCGCATGCCATGCGCGTTGCGGAGCTCTTGGAAGCTGTTGCGATGCGCATAGGTCGGGCGGGCTCACTGTCAAGGTGCCTATTCGGAGAGCGGCAGGTCGGTTGGGTGGCAGATGCAGAATGTGGGGGATCTCTTCCCATTGGTCAGGTGTTTGTCGTCGTCGTCGTCGTCGTCGTCGTCAATGGCTCAGCTACCGCAGGCTGGTTCGACCACTCTGCCTTCTGGCCACTGCTCGGTTGCAGTGCGATGCAGTCGACGCGCCCAATGAGGACCCGCGCCTTCTCCAGGATACCCTTGTGTCCTTGACAGCTTTTGCCAACAAGTCCCAACTTCGTTTTCCAAGGGTTGTGCGTCCTTACCACTTGTCCTTGCTGCGCGTAACGATTGTAGACCCAGCGCCATGGAGAAGGTAGAGACTGGGCTGCCCCGCATCTTCTCCCGCAGGCGCTGTGGTGTCCGCGGGCGCCGTGGTTCACGCAGGCAGCGTGGTGCACACCGGTGCTGTGTTGCACAGGGTTGCTGCGGTGTGCACAGGCGTTGTGGTGTACGCAAGCGCTGTGGTGCACGCAGGCGCTGGTGTACACCGACGCTGTGTTGCACGCGGCTGCTGTGGTGTACACAGACGTTGTGGTGTACACATGCGTTGTGGTGCACGCGTGTAGAATCCTCAGGCGCTCCACTTTCCATAGGGACTCTTGTAAGACATGTCTATAACACATTTTTTGGGGCGGAATTCAGAGGCGCCCCAATTTCCATCGGGATTCCTTTATCAGACAACGGTTTTCTGTAGAATCCAGAGGCGCTCCGCTGTTCATAGCGTTTCCTTTTGAAGCTCAATCTGCACAATTGGTGTTCTGTGGAATCCAGAGGCGCTCCACTTTCCACAGTGCTTCATGTAAGAATCCTATTGTAAACAATGGTTGTCTGTAGAATCCAGTGGCGTATTCTTACATTAAAGATTTGTTGTATGTGGAATCCTGAGGTGATCCAGTTTCACGCTCCTGGCGTTCTGGCGCACGCACGCAGGCAGTGCGGTGTACACGGGCGCTGTTGCGCACACAGCTGCTGCAGTATACACGAGCACTGCGGTGTGCAAAGGCGACGTGGTGCTGCAGTGCACGCGGCTGTCTGTTGTGGTGTACGGAGGCACTGTGGTGTGTACACAGGTCACGCTGTGTTGCACGCAGGCATTGGGCATTGTCCTGTACACAGGGAGTGCGGTGCACACAGGCGATTGATGCGCCAGTGGCGCGGACGCACCCTTGCGGGCGCACGCCGCGGCCGCCGTTACCGTTACCCTCGCGCCCGCCCCCCCGGCCCAGGGTAACGGCCGTTGACCGGGAAATAAACAAATGGTCACACCCGAATGGTCGCGTGATTTTGAAATTTTCCAGTCGTTCTATTCGGACCATCGCCGTTACTGTGTTCATCTGCGCTTGCCTTTTTGATTGAGTCGACGGTCGGGTGAATCAAAGCCGTGACGCAGGTTATGGGATAGCAGCAGTACGGACTCTCGGACGACATGGACGGGGCCAAAAAGACAGGCCCCGAAAAAAAGAGGGGGGCAGGAGGCGAATGGAAACGAGAAGAAGGCGGAGGAGGAGGAGGTGGATGTGGACGACGGGGAGGATGAGGGGGATAAGTGTGTGGAGGCGGCGGAGGATGACGAGAAGGAGGAGGAGGCGCAGGAGGAGGAGGAGGCGCAGGAGGAGGAGGAGGAGGAGGAGGAGGAGGAGAAGGAGAAGGAGGAGGAGGAGGAGGAGGAGGAGGAGGAAGCGGAAGAGGAGGAGGAGGAGGAGGCGGCGGATAAGGAGGAGGAGGTGGGGGAGGAGGAGGAGGAGGAGGAGAAGGAGGAGGAATAATCCAGGCTGTAGCCATAAGTTTGCTCACTCTCAAATAGAATTAGGAGGCGGAATCGGAGGATGAGGAGGACGAGGAGGAGGAGGAGGAGGAGGAAAACCACAAGGAGGAGGAGAGGGAATCAGCAGGATGAGGAGGCAAAATGGGGAGGGAGGCAATAGAACGGTGGCCGAATGGCGAGGGGGTGGGGGAGGGTGCTGGGCAGGAAGGGGTACTTGCCGTCGCACCCCGCCGCCGCCGCCGCTTGTGCGGGGTCTCGGGGGGGAGGCAGGAGGGGTCTTCGGAGGCGGCGATAGGGGGCGAATGGCCCAGGGGGTGCAACACATGAGTACCCCTCTGGGAGCCGTGCCGAAGGCATGGCCATCGGCGCCCCGGGACACATGCATTGCTCCCCCCCTTGGGCTATTGGCCCCTGTCGTCGTCCCCGAGATCTCGGTTTCTGTTCAGGCTCGTCGGGTTAACCCCAGAGGTGGGTAAACCAGTCAGACGGGTAGTGTCGAACGGCGGTCATCTTCCACGCGTTCCCATCACATTCCCCTTCCTCCTTCTCCTTCTCCTCCTCCTCTTCCATCTCCTCTTCCTTTTCCTCATCGTTGCGTTCCTTTCCCCTGTCCCGCCTCGCTCGGCGCCTTTCTCCGCAGGTGTTGCACCTTTGGCAACTGCCTGACTGCGGAGGAGCTCGTCTTCAACGAGCAGGGGACCTCCGACGCCAGGGTTCCGGTGGGCCCGTGTTAGTCCTCGGGCGACGGAGGTATGGGGGGCGTCTCAAGAGGGGTAGGAGACTAGGGATGTGTGGATCTCCTTGCCGAGGCTGTGACATCTCTTCGGGCTCGCGATTCTTTTTTTTCTATCAGCACATTTTTTTCTGTCAGCACATGCCCGTCCTCCCCTCGTCCACGCCCGTGGCCCCAGCCTTGATACGCTACCCCTCCTTCCTGGCACCCTTCTTCCGCTAACCCTAAAGCAGAGAGCGCGGGGATGAAGGGGGAGAATGGGGAGGAGGAGCATGCAGGGAAGAAGGGGGGTGATAAATAATGATGCTACTGCTGCTGCTGCTGCTGCTGCTGCTGCTGATGATGATGATGATGATGATGATGATGATGATGATGATGATGATGATAATGAGGATGATGTTGCTGCTGATGATGATAATGATGATATTGATTAGGCTGACTATGTTGTTGATGATGATGACGATGACGATACCGATGCTGATGATGATGCTGATACTCATAATGATGATCATGCTGACGATGCTGATGATGAGGATGATGCTGCTGATGATGATGATGATGATGATGGTGGTGATGATGATGATAATGATGACGATGTCGGTGAGGACGACGATGCTGGTGATGATGCTGATGATGAGGATGCAGATAATGATGACGATAACGATGATGTTGATGATGATGGCGATGGCGATGGCGATGATGATGCTGATGATTATGATCATGATGATGATTCTGATGATGATGATGATGATGATGATCGTGCTGATGCTGATGCTGCTGATGAGTATGATGCTGCTGCTGCTGATGATGATGATGGTGATCCTAATGATGACGATGACGATGCTGATGGTGACGAGGAGGGCGAGGAGGAGGATGATGGTGGTAGTGGTTGTGGTGGTGGTGGTGGTAGTTTTGATCATGATGATAACGATGATGAATATGCTGCTGCTGCTGCTGCTGCTGCTGCTGATGATGATGATGATGATGATGATGATGATGATGGAAGAGGAACAGGAGGACGAGGAGCATTGGGATGAACAAGAGGAAAATTATAGTGAAGAGGAATGGGAGGAGGATGAGGAGGAGGAGAAGGAGAAGGAGGAGGACGAGTGGAAAGCCAAGACTCATCAACGATGTTGGAACAAATCCTCTCTCCAAGCTCCTTCTTGGCAGGCCCCTACAAAGGTTCATTTCTAGTGGGGGAACTGCCTCGCTGGGAGACAACCGTTCGAAGACCCTAGAGCGTGCCAGAGCACCATTGTCGGGACTTCATCGCCACGACTTACATGATTGTTGTGTCTCGACGATCCTAAATCTTGACAGAACACCATTTCGGGAATTTCAACACCGCGAATCAACGTAATTGTCGCGCCCTCACAATGCTGAGCCCGTCCACAATACCAATTCTGGCACGTTGAACCTGGGAATTCCTGCGCGCGGCGCTAAGGCGAGCGCCACATTTTGAAAACCGCCCGCCCTCAGATGTGAAGATGTTGCCAGTTTCTAAGCTTCAGGGCCATGCATGGTGAGGAAGTCTCAGGTGAAACGCCCGGCTCGCCCTTTCGACCGGCCTCGGGGTGCGACAGGCAGGAGTTATGTATAGGACAGGGAATTTGTGATGAGGAGGAGGAGCAGGAGCCAGCGAAAGATGTTGATGACGATGGTGGTGATGATGAAGATGGTGATGATGGTGATGGTGTCGTTGATGCTGATGCTGATGCTGATGCTGCTGCTGCTATGGCTGCTGCTGCTGCTGCTGCTGCTGATGATGATGATGATGATGATGATGGTGTGGCTGATGATGATGCTGCTGATGCTGATGATTATGTGGTTGATGCTGCTGCTGTTGCTGACGATGACGATGATGATGATGATGATGATGATGATGATGGTGATGATGGCGGTGGTAGTGACAGCGATGGTGGTTGTGACGATCATGGTAACTAAACTCTTGGTCATGATGATGCTCATGTCTGCACTTGTGGCTGCTGGTGACGACGACGATGATGGTGGTGATTGTGATGGTGATGGTGATGCTGATGATGCTGGTGATGGTGATGGTGATGCTGATGAAGGTGATGATGGTGATGATGATGATGATGATGATGATGATGATGATGATGATGATGATGATGATGCTGATTGTAATGATGATGGTAATGAGCATGAGGAGGACCAGGAGGAATGGATGAGAAGGAGGGGGACGTATGAAAAGGAGAAGAAGAGGAGGAGGGTTCTGGGAGGAGGGGTCAGGGATGTGGGAGGATGAGGGCGGATGGAGTAGGAGTTGGAGGGGGAGGAAGAGACACGAGGAGGCAGGAGGCGGGAAAACGAGGAGGATAAGGGAGGGGGAAGGCGAGGAACAGGAGAGGAAAACGCGGACGATGATGATGAGGGGTGGAGGAAAATGCTGAAGAGGGAAAGGCCCCCTTCCCCGTACTCCTCCCTACATACCCTTCCTCCCCTTGATTCCTCCTCCCTTCCCGCAAGGGCAACATAATCATGGTGATGATGGTGCTGATCATGCTGTTGCGGGGGAAGGATAATGGTGGTGATCATGGTGCTGGCCATGATGTTGTTGATACTCGCATGGTTAGAAGCAGGATTGCAATGCTGATGTTGGAGTTGATCATGCTGCTGCTGATGATGACGGTACTACTGCTGATGCTGTTGTTGATGATGATGATGGTGGTGATGAATACAATTCAATCGCTTCGCTCACCCCGCCCACACGGTAGCATCGCTGTCATTTTCTTGCGTGCGCACGGAGGCTGCGCAGGAGATAGGTTGCGGCTGTTGTCCTTGCCTGTCGCTTGTACGCGTTTCGGGGAGAAGCAGTGGCAGGGCAGTTGTAAGGCAACGCTCAACGGAGCCTGCAGCGCCCTCTGGGGCCCCCTTGCCCGACTGGGCTCGGTTCCGGGCAACACTGGGGGCGTTCTTTGGCGGTTGTGGATTCTCGTGGAGGTGTTCCGGAGGCTCTATTGAAGCCAGGGGGAGCTGATAAAACAGATTGGCGAGCAATCAAGGAGCACATAACACGTCTGGCACAGTTTGGGGATGTGTTAGGCCCCCACGGGGCGGAAGCTGAGGCGGAATTTTCGGCACGAGGGATGAAGGGAAGGACACATAGAGAAGTAACGCCTTCCGGTGCTAGGATGCAAGGAATTATCCCAGAGCGACCCTACCTAGGAGTTGGAGCCCCGAGGAGAGCAATATTAGTAGTAACGGTATGCTATGCTATGCTAGGCTATACTATGATATGCTATGCTGCGCTATGCTATGCTATGCTATGCTAGGCTATGCTACGCTACGCTATGCTGCGCTCTGCTATGCTATGGTATGCTATGATATGCTGTGCTGTGCTATGCTATGCTGCGCTGCGCTAGGCTATGCTATGCTAGGCTATGCTACGCTATGCTGCGCCATGCTATGCTATGCTATGCTATGCTATGCTGTGCTAATGCTGCGCTGCGCCATGCTGCGCTGCGCTAAGCTAAGCTAAAATAAGCTAAGCTATGCTAAACTAAGCTAAGATAAGCTAAGCTAAGCTAGGCTAGGCTAAGCTAAGCTAAGCCAAGCTAAGCTAAGCCACGCTAAACTAAGCTAAGCTAAGCTGAGCTAAGCTAAGCTAAGCTAGGCTAGGCAAGGCACAGCTAAGCTAAGCTGAGCGAAGCTAAGATGAGATAAGCGAAGCTAAGCTAAGCTAAGCTGAGCTAAGCTAAGCTAAGCTGGGTGAACCCAGTGGGCGCAACTGGGGGAACCGCGGGGCGGATGCCGGGGGAACCGCCCAGGGCGCATTACACTGCCAGGCCCCTTTAAGCACAGAGAGTAATAACCCTTCTAGGCAGAGCCTAGGTAGGGAATGAGGAAGAAGAAACGGAGGTGAGAGGTGGAGATGAGGGGGACGAGAAGGAAGGACAGAACGGGGGGGGGAGGAGGTGGAGACACGAGGGAATCAAGAGAATAATTACGAGAGGAGGGGGACTGAATGAAGGTGCGGGCGAGGGGGGAAGATGGGTGATGCACGAGAAAATAGTGTCCTCCCCCTCGCGCAAAATAATCAACCGCCTGCCGCATCCTGGAAGCCCATCTTGTCTCTCCCCGTATCCTAGGGACGGGGCTCTTGTTACTACTCTGACCGCGCCGACTCCTCACACTCACTCCTCCTCCTCCCCACCCAGAGTTACACTTAGGGTCACTCGCCAAAAGTTGATGTTCAGGGCGTTTTTCTCTTCTTCCAGGGTTAGGGGAGGGGGTTCGGGTGGGGGAGGGGGGGGATGGGGAGAGGGTGTCCCCCCAGTTCACCTGGGTGCGCGGGATGCGTTGGAGGGGCCCGTCTCCCGGGCTCCGGCGTGTCGTGTGAGGGGTGCCTCCCGAGGCAGGCGCCCGTTCTCCGCGCGTGCTCTCCCCGCCCACCGATCCCCCGCTCTCGGGCCCTTTCGGGCTCTGCTGGAGCCCTCTTGGGGCCTCGACGGCCAACTCGAGCTCCCGTGGCATCCCACCGATCAGTGTCCACAGAGTCGACGCGACACGACACCAACCCCTCTCCCGCCGCCCGACCCACGCCTTCATCCGCCAAGGCATTCCCCTGAATTAGAAGCGGGTCTAAATCGTTCCCGGCCGCCTCGGAGTGAGACGGAGCCCTCTGGTAGCTCTTCTCGGCTCCACTTCGAGCCGTCGTTGGTGATCTTGGAGGCATCTGGAGGCCTCAGAAGCCCTAAGCGAAATTGCGAGAACGCCACAATCATTGGAACACATTTGTTTTCTACATGGCTTTTTGCCTCTTGGTGGCCTTCTGAGGTCTCGCAGGAATGTCTTGGGCCATCTTGGGCCACCTTTGGACTATCTTGGGATATCTTGGGGTTGTTTCGTGGCCATTTTTTGACCTCCCACGCATCGATCCCCGCTCTTGGGCTCTTCTGCCTTCTTAGGTCTCCCTCGTCTTGGGGTGTCTCTTCCGTCCCATCCATTTTCTTAAGG